CAGTGCCCCCTGTTCCTGCTGGCCTCTCAACACCTGCACCTTTTCTACATCACATGCGTATGGTGTGCAACTCGGGCGGCTGACACTGCCATGTGATGGATTTCCTTTTTTTTTTTTTTTTTTTTGTGGAGCTGGCTCAGGCTGCCCTACGAGCGGGACTGGTAAGGCATGTGGAGCTGAGGATTGAACCACGGTCCCCTACATCTGATTGGGTTTGCCCAAGCAGATGCTTACACAACTGAGCTAACACACAGGCCCCCCTGACACTGCCATGTGTTTGCCAACAGAACTACCTGGCGCATGAGGAGCTCCTGATCGCGGTAGAAATGCTATCTGCAGTGGCATTGCTGAACCAAGCCTTGGACAGCAACAATCTCGTGTCCGTGCAGAACCAACTCAGAAGCCCCTCCATAGGGTTCAACAACCTGGACGAAGTGTACATAGAACGGTAAGGGGCCTTCTCCTGATCCTTTCAGCATAGAAATACATATTAGTCTCACCTACTAAGAATCTCTTTCTCTGTGCAAAAGCTATATTTCCTACTCTCCTGTTTCTTAAGAGCTAGTACTCTAAGTGTCTTTCTAACTAGAAGCCTTCTTTACAGTAATCCTTTGGAGGGCTGTTATGGTTTGTGTCTAGTTGTGCCCCCAAAGCCTCATGTATTCATGGGGTGTCTTCTGGAGTTTGTGATTGATTATTGTGGGTGTGGATGCTGTACCTGCCCTGGGACAGGTAATTTGCATTACAGCACAAGGAGGGAAGAGAGGCTGGCTTGCTGCCTGAGCTGCTGCCACTCCCTTTGCTCTGTGCTCTTTGCTGCCACCATGAAAGGTTGCCCTCTGCCATGTGCCCCTCTGCCTTGGAAGCTGAATATGGACCTCCAGTAACTGTGAGCTAAATGAACCTTTTCTTCCTTCATTTTGAGGGTCAGGTGTTTGTCCCAGCAAGAAGAGAAGAGTAACTGAGACAGGAGGTAAAAAGAATCATCTTTTGGTAGTTAAGGACAGACTTTGAAGTAGCAGAGAAACACAAGAACTGCCCACCTGTAATCCCAGCACTCTGGCAGTCTAAGACAGGATTGCTAGTTCAAGTCTAGCATGGGCAACTTAAAGATTTATCATGACTCTTAAAAGAAAAATAAAAGGTAAAAATGATTAAAGACCTGGGTTCAATCCCCATTATTGGGGAGGAGGGGGGCAATAGAGAAATAAGACTTACCCTCAGGGTTGGTTTTTGGTTTTTTGTTTTGTTGCTGCAGCTGTTGTTGTTTTGAGACAACACTTGATCTTAGCCAAAAGGCCAAGAAGTGATTTTTTTAGACATTGACTGTAAAAGAGTTAGAAGCAAGCTTAATAATCAGCTAATCCAATTTTTCAATGTATTGATGAGGAAACTGAGTCTGGAGTTGCGGTCCCAAAGTTGGGCAGTCGGGCCCTAACTCTGTTCTTCCGATTGTAAGGCCATGGCATCCTGAGAGCACATTGGGCAAGGCATTGGGTGAGCACCTCGAGTTAGTGCTTTCATTTTTGTGTTCTTCAAATGTCCTACCAAGATGGTACAGTTTATGGTGGTATAAAATGCTACAGTGGATCTAGAGTGGAAAGTAAGGGGCCAAAATTAGGAGCCAAATTAGGGTTGGTTTTTTTTTTCTTTTTTGGTGATGGAGGTTTAACCACATGCTAAACAAGGACCCTACCACTGAGCTACTCTCCCAGCCCAAATTAGAGATTCCTTAAGACCAATGTTTGATTCAGAAGACATGAATTAAAAGGAGTGAACCTAGATTCTTTTGGCCACCAGGGGGCGATGTCTGCTCAGGTCTTGACAACCGCTTTCTGCTCCTGCTTCCAAAGGGACTGCTTTCCATTTGCTAGTTGTCTTGGGTCACATAGAGTTGCTCAGGAAAAATCAAAAGAGTGTTACATCTTAGATAAATTGCATAGAAAATGACCAAAGAGGGAGGACGGTGGATTTTCTTGTTTTTTAGTCATCCTGAAGAAAAATGTTCTTGCCGTAATTCATCTCAGCCCTTGGGGGTCACATAATTCCGAGTTTGCTTCCAAGGCCATTTATTTCTGCCTCCACTGTTGTCGCTAGTGGCACCACCCGCATACCCAGCCCAGCACTCGCAGGCTCACCTCACGCCCCCTCTGCCGCTGCCAGCCCTGCTGTGTCCCAGCTGCCCCGACAGGCCCACTTTCCACCACTGCATGCAGCCCTGGAGCCCCCTGCTGTTTCCGTTATAAGCTCCACAGCATGCTCCCTACCTCTTTCCTCGCTGATCTCTTCACGCACTCTGACCCAGCCGGCTTCAGTCACTCCTGGGTCTGAGTAGAAGGCACAGCTGGTCAACCTTGGTAAAGTTGACATTGTAGTGCGACATCTCAGGATGTCATTGTCAAGACTTCCACATAGTTAGCACCCCAGACCACTGTCCCCTAGAGGATGGTGTCCCCTCACTTACATGCTCATTTTTATAATAAATTCCTGCATTATAAACATCCCATCTGGAAGTAGTCCCAGTCCACTTGAAAACTACATTTATACCTGTATTAGCTTCATGCTACTATAGCCAAGTACCAGCGATAATACACTTTAAAAGAGGAGAGGCTTATATGTTAGCTCTATCTTCTGTATTTTCTAGTTCATAAAGCAGTTGAAGCAGTGCGTCATGGCAGAGTCCACTGCTCACCTCCTGAGCCAGGAAACAAGACAGAAATGGACTGGGGCCCCATGACCCCCCTCAGGGGCGTGTACCCCGGGACCTGGGGCCCTCCCCCCACAGTTCCACTGCTTCCCTGTAGCAGCCCCTGGGGACCAGGCCTTTACCAGTGGACATCTGGGGGCCACTCACGCAAACCGTAGCAGTACTTCTGGTGGAAACTGAGGCCTGCAAAAACAGAATTCAACAATGCATTGTGAGAAATATTTGATATGTGAGCATTTGGATGATTTCTAACAATTGGGCTTAAGCATGTTCTGATTCCCCTGAGCAGCCACTTGGGGGACCCAGTACCCACAGGAGAGTTCAGGGTCTGCTCCAGTCCTTGTATTGGTGCGTTGGCCCTGTGTGGTCTTCCCCAGTTTCTGCGTTTCACTTCCAAGGTCTTCCTCTCAACCTGCATTCCCAGATGCCCAGATTTTTAGGTTCCCAAGTTGGAAAAGTACTGTTCCATCCAAGGCCACTCCTTCTCAGGGTCTTCATAGCCCAAGGGTACTAACTAGGCCACCCTCATAAAGTTGCTAAAAGCCTGTTCACCACAGCTTCCACTCCTGGGGCTCTGTTTGCCCAAAAGGATTCCTTGTCTAATTCTCCCCAGAGTGACATATGGGGTGGCTTTGGCTCTGTGCAGCCACTGTTTCCAGATTAGTTGTTCTAAAATGTAGCTGTATTTATTCTATTTACTTGTTCCCTGTCCTTATCCGAATGGAGGACTCACAGCAAACTTGCTAACCCGGCTCTTGGTACCACTGCTACTTTGCACTTTAGCCAAGCTTGGTCTGCCCACACCATGGATTTGCAGGCCTGTTTGTTCCTGTGTCAGCTCCTCAGGAACTTGGTGCTTTCACATAGCACTGCTCAGCCCGGTCTCAGAGCCCTACCTAGTGCAGGTGACAAGCCCATGAGTTATGTCCCTGCTTCCCCCATCTCAGCTAAGTTCTGTCTTGTTAGAGCCAACATGATGTGATTAAAGGAACACTCTCTGAGAGCGACCTTCCCTGCTAAGTCCTTTATTCTTCATAGATAAAGCATAAACGGAATAAGGCAACCAAAAAGCCCACTCTGCATCCTCAGACCTGTCTTAAAGACTGAGTACCTGATTCAGTGCCTGCCTCGGGGAAGGTGTTCATGGGATAAGAGTTCCCCTACCTTTCTCAGTCCCTTGAACCTGGCATGCCTCTTAGGGACTGTCTGTACTTCGATGGCCTTACCTGTGCTCTGGCTTTTATGGTCTTTTGGTGTCATCTTACCCACTGGGCTGAGTGGTTCTGAGGTAGAGGCTGCGTGTGGTTCCTCCCTGTCACCCCACAGTGCCCACCACACATTTTGCCTACAGTAGATGTTTACTGAGCATCTGCTGAACTCGGTGAGATTGCTGTCTTCTCAGTGTCCCTGGTCTGTTAAAATGCTAGCCTGACCAGCCTGTCCACTGCTGAAGTCAGAGAGTGCTCAGGAATGCAGGACAGACACCTGTTTGGGTAGACTATGGAGTCATTCCCAAAGCTGATTCCACCAGTTCTGAAGACTCCTATTCATTGGGAAAAGCCTGAGGAGCTCTGGAAGTTCCTCCTAAAATCTTCTCCTTTCTCCAGTTAGTATTCATTTCTAAAGGGAGGATGGTGCTTGTGAGTTCTTCTTTGTCCATTCTTAAGCATTTTTATCTTTATCCTGTGGGGCCTCATTTTGATGTTAAGCATATAAAATGCCTAGAGGAATTTTGCACTTTCTTGTACAATGGTCCTGACCTCTCTGGGCTGCCAGCTGGTATAAGCTGCCACTTCTCTCTGCTGTGATTGCTGTATTATTCAGCATGGACTGTATCAATAATGTAGCAGAGTATTTCCATAGGCCCATAACTCAGTAAAAATCTCACCCATAACTCAGTAAAAATCTCACCCATGACTCAGTAAAAATCTCACCCATAACCCTGAGCCAGTTTCCAGCCAATGTAGGTGGACCTCATCCGGGTACAGACAGCAAATGTTAGCACCACATCCTATTTTGAATAAGGCTTTTCACTCAAGCTACTTTTGTGGAAGACCCTGAATCATGTAAAATGTTGAAAAAATGCACCACACAACCAGAAAAGGTTTTAGACTTCAAGTGTTTCTTCTTTGAAACTCGGCTATCAGCGAACCCCTAGAGCTATCCAGCAGTGGAACTGCACATGGAGGGCCATTCATCATTTCCCGGAGTGAAGCTGGAAATGCAAACTGAACTCTAGAGCTCCTTTCCTTCTGGCTACCTTCGTCACAGTAGCCTAGCCTAACTGTGTTGTTGTTTGTTTGTTGCGCTGCTGGGGATGGAACACAGGCCCTCACCTGTGCTAGCGAAGCGCTCTATCACAGAGCTACAGCTCCAGTCCTGGTTCTGTGATTTTTATAGCAAAATTGATGGTGGAGAAATGAGAATTTCTCATAATCTATCAAGATGGGTAAGCTTTTCTCTAAAACTTAATGACTGATTTAGTGATACCCTGTCTCAAAA